CATTTGAACCGTCATTTCACCAGGACATGATGAGGGCCTCCGTTTCTGTCTTCCTCTGAGGACGCAGCCTTAATGTTTCCGTACCAAGCCAGCAAACTTGAGACGACAGCCTCGGTTCAGCGTGAGAGGGAAAGTTTGGCGCTGGTAAGTGATAGTGCGATCTGACACCGACTGGTGTAAGTGTTTGCTCTCCTAAGAGCAAAAGGACTAGCGTATTGCTGATGAGAGAGCACACCAGGGATCGCATGCACAAGTCTGACGGCTTCCACGCGCTTTTTAAGAGGCTGCCAAGTTTTGAAGAAGGCTTCATTGCTCAAACGTCATGGACAAGTCCGAGAGCATCCTGATTCTGTCGGGTATGATGTTGTGGGGACCTTGGCCCTCTCTCCCCGCACCGCACCTCGTCTCTGATCGACGTCCCTCACCCTCGGGGGATATCCTCGCGAGGGTAGGTTTTCGCTTCGCGGAGATCATGGAGAACAACAGCTGCACGGGAAACGAGACACTACCCCACACCTCGCTTGGTTCCGCAGGCTGGGGGGGGGAATGTCACGATCCAGGCCGGCACGAGGTTCCTCTGCATGTCGTAGCGATGGACGGGAAATGCGGCTCGGGGGGACGGTGTCATTGCGGGATGCCTCTCGACACCGGCTGTTCCTGAGTCTTTGGGGAACGAAGACCTTGGCGGGAGGAAGATCCGCAAGGGCTTGCTCATCGGTCAATCACCAGACGCATTTCCCCTCTTCCCGCAAAAGGGGAGTGAGAATTGTTCCGTAGGCTCGCAGTGCCGGCTGCTCGGGAACGGAATGCCAGCAAGTCTCATTGGAGGATCTCGGGAGGTGCTGCTCCGTGGTTGATTACAGCTCGAATCGTCTCTGAACTTGGACTACGCGTGTGTTCTTGACAGAGGATAGCGTGGATGCGCCTGTGTAGGTCGCTGCGGGGGAGGCGCAGAACATGCGCTGTCTGAGGCTGGGGAGAGCGGTAAAGGGATGGGGTAGTTGGGCGGAAATGCTTCGCGGAAATTTGTTCCTCGGGCCAGCTTTCGTGAGGGGAAGATGCGGTATGGGGAGATCTTGATGAAGGGGAGCGGGAGAGGCTGGGACTGAGGGTTTGCCGGATAAATTGGGTTTCTGGGGTGAGCGGGAGGTAAACAGTGACGAAAGTGTTCTTGGTGACGGTTGTTCACAATGATGTTGCGATGACCAGTGCGAACAGTTTGATAGTGGCTGGGTGGGAAGCGTTGATGAAAGTTACACCGGCGTGGTGATCATTAGAGATTGAGGGTATTAAACCTACAAGATCCCAATGTTTGTTCTGAAGCCCAAAGAGCACGGTCAAGACCGAAATCTTCAGCAAGCCAGGGGAACTGGAGATACCAACGATTATCTACAAGCCTGAAGGGAGCGACGAACAGGGATCAACGGTCAACCCATCAGTGAGCTTCTTCCCCGTGACAACGTGCTCTCGCCCGCCAAGTGGTGGACTTCTTTCCCGTCGCCTTCACCGAAGACCCAGGGTAAACGTCCGTCCCCAGAGCTACACGTGCTCCCGGTCTGTGAAGCGGCGGGGGGTAGCTTGGTTGCTTGATGTCCTTCCAGGGCTTCTGGATCCCTGGAACCCGAGCTTTTTTATTCATTCCGCCGATAGTCTGCCAGCGCCCGCCCTGAATTAGAGACTTGACAGTGGGCTCTCAGCTGTGCTCTTAGGCTTAAACGGGGTGGATGCTCCGACGGGACGCTAGCCTTAATGATGGGGGGATATGGTCCAGGGCCTGAGAAAAACGTGGGCTGGAGTGGGCACTCGGCAGGGTCGGGAGAGGGGCACAGCTCGGGGGATAAGGGTCATTCTTGGAGCATGGCGAATTCGAACAGACGGGATTGACAGCTTGATATTAAGAGTCTACGAGCTTGGTGAGAGTTCTATAGCTGAACGGCCAAGTGCAGAACAAAAAGCAGAAGCTTCTCACAAACAATGGTTCCCCTGGCGAGATTTGTTGTCAATATCACACAGATTGACGGACTTGAGCTTAGTCCGAGAAAGGTTCGGCCACGGACGACCACTAGTCATCGGGCGCTATGCCACTCTCGAGCTGCCTCTTTCGGCGAAGCGGCTCCCGGCATGGGCGTGGCGCATCCAAGGCCTAGACTTGACTGGTTAGCTTTCCGTCCCCGCCGCCAGTCTTTGTCTTCCTCTATCGATTTTCTAGATAGTTTGACCCAGGACCTTCCTCAACGGCGACCGCCGATGGGATCGCGGGTGGCGTTGACCGTTGGCAAGAGATCGGTCTTGATGGCGAAGAGATTTGAGCCGGAGACGGGCGCGATGGGCACAGACTGGCTCATCATAGTGCAAACAGCCCAAACTTTTCCAACAACAAGCCAACGCTAGAGGAACGCAATTTGCGCTGACATGCTGAAGGGTTGCAATTGGCAGCCTGGCACCTCGTGTCAATTATCCCAGGCGGCCCCCGACAGCCTGGAGAGCGCAAACATTCGGCGGAGCTTTCGTGGTGGGTGTTCGTGTCATGGGCGCCCCGGCTTGCGACGCTGTTGCTTTCAATAGCTGAAATCCCCAGCGCCGACTCGCCGAGTTGGCCCGCCCGAGAGCAGGTTTGGGGTCGCAGTGCAGCGAGAATTCATAAGCATAAAAGCTTAGGTTCATAAAGGGCCCCAGCTGTGAGTGGACTGATTGTCGCAGGGCGGATCAGGAGGAGATCTGGGCTGGTCGCTTAGCTTGACGAGAGCGATCTCCGGCGGGCTCCAGTCCTGTCAGAGTTTGTCCTGTGCGCTGATAGGGACCAGGGACCTTGTGTTTGCTTTCATCTTTGATGTTGAAAGGTACGAAGAGATTACAGCCTCATGCGATGAGTTGAGTGAGAAACACACGCTTTGACTGGCAAGCAACAGACAACAGTTCCAACATGTCTCTGTTCAACTGATAGTCTACCCCCTGAAAATGAAATCAAAGCATTATGACGGCCCAGAACAGCACTCATCGGATCATCGCCGACAGCATTATGGCCAATGCAGGTCGGCGGCGCGGGCCATTAGGCGATGCAACCTCATTGGCAGTGTCTCTCACACTAATGATTCCTATTCTCATTCAGGCTTTTCTTCTTCGCCTCTTCGACTTCGAACCTTTGTGCCTTTTCATCACCGACCGGCGAGCTGCTGCTTCTCCCATGTCCCTGCCCGCAGACAGCCCGCCTGTCTGCTTTCGCTTCTCCTCATTTCCTCATGCAGGCCAGGCTCCCCCGCGGCTCTCGCGATGTGACGCTGGCGTCCGTCGGTGGAAATATCGCGACTATGACAGCCCGCCAGATCGACTGAGGAGAAGGGAGTGCGGCAAGTCGCCGGCAGGTATCTGAATATTCAGCCGAGACTTCTCTTTAGATCCTACGGAGGATTCGAGCTCATTCGGAAAGCGAGGGCATCTCATGTCTACACATCACAACAGGAGTGTGCTTGGAGTTGAGTTTCTTACGCAGATCCAGGCATCTGGGCTATCTCATCCCCTTCACCGTTCTTATCCTCCCATATCCATCGATCCCAGCAGCCCAGCCCCAATCTCATCCTTGCTCGTGGTCCTCTTTGTTTATCCAGCCCACGGTAAAGCTCACGCCTCCGACGGATGGCCTTTCCGTGCCGTTGCGCCTTGGCGTCTCTCTGCCAATCGCCTTCGCACCCGACAGCTCCGTTACCCGAATCGAAGACATGAAAGACAGAGTCCATGATAACATGCGGAACTCAATGACGCCAAAGACTCTTCAATTGCTTTTTCCGTGTGTAACACGAAAAGAAGCCACCAGCCAAGCGGCGCGTCACGCAGATTTCAATAGTAATTAATATGGTAGCCATGAAGGCACCGTTGCCAATGTTTGTTCTCCGTGCCTCCCTTGCATCCAGCTTCTTCCACTGCTGAACCAGAATGTCTCTTATTACAACCAGCAAACAACGGTGACCCCGGGCAAGGCCATTTGGCAACCCCCGACTTCCGATTCAAGGCTAGGCCGCATTGGACGACCTCCCCCGCCGTGATAGCGTTGGCTAGCATGGAAAACCAATCCTTGGCCTGCCCTCGACAGCCCAGGGTTGAGAACCAGAGAAGGGACGCACGTTGGAATGTCAGGGCAGAGAAGACCAAGGAAGACAATGTCACCCCCGGCCGCGCCAGTCAGCCAAACGATACCTCATCCTCTCCATCTCTCTGTCTCGGACCAAACCCAACCCCAAAGTCATCCTTCGGATACGCTTGCGCTGAGCTGCGTCAACTTGTTCCTGCGGTTCGCCGCCGTCGCCCACATGCTCTCCCAACCTGCCTCATGCGGATGCTGCGCCCGCTGATAGGTGGGAAATGCCACACCACGCAAAAGATGAGCTGAACGGGTTGGAACGTCGTCCCTCGCTGCTCTTCCCCTCTCCAACCCCTGGCACCCTTGCCCACGCTCAGGTACAGGGTGTTACCGCACCGGGGAGCCTAGCTTCGTCAATATGTGTTTATCCTTTATCCTCACCCACGATGTTGTTTCTCGCCTGCCATCCACTACCCCCCTTGTCCGTTTGTCCAGAGGCCCGGTCAATGACCCGCCTTTCCCATCGCCTCCGCCCAGATGGGCAGATGGGCTCCGCTTCCACTCTTCTTCCGTCTGGTTGCTGCGGTTCGTATTGACTGCTGCATACCGGACCGTAGTTGCTTGCTTCTGGTTCACTCACCTTCACCTTAGTTTGCATGTCTATCTATCCGCACGTAGGCAGTCCAAGGCACAGCATGGCCACCACCACCACCAACAGCCACCCCCTCGGCCCCAGCCCACCCCCATCTTGAGAGGACTGGGGGCTGATGGTATATATCACAGTGCCTTCGCCTCCATGTAACCCATTGCTCTCCCTCCCTTTCCCCTTTCCTCTCCATCACCGACTTCCTACCAGATTTCCATCCAATCACCCCATCCACAAATCTCTTAGGACCTCAGTCGATCGTCTGAACCCACCGTCAAAATGAAGGCCGCCGTCATCCTTTCCCTCGCCGCCCTTGCCTTCGGCTCGGCCATCGAGAAGCGCGAGTGCTCCGGCAACAACTGCAACCGCCAGGTCACCGGCACCCGCGACGGTCTCCTCCCCCTCACCTCCCGCAAGGCCGACTGTTCTTCCTTCCTGCAGGCCACTGTCACTCCCTCCCCTACGTATGTTCTATGGCATCCCTAAAGACCTCAGATGTTCTCTCTGGGGACTAACACGGACCTCACAGCACTGTCACCGTCACCGTCACTGCTCCCGCCCGCCTCCGCCGCAACGGTGAGATTGTCAACCGCCAGGTCACCGCCTACCCTACCGCCATCCCCGCCTACGCCTCCTCCTGCGACGACGCTGCCGAGTACTCCTCCGCCTGCTCCTGCTGGGGCATCACTGCCGTCACCAGCACTGCTCCCCGTCCCACTGTCACCGTCACCACCACCGCCGACTACTGCGAGGGTGAGTTCCAGTACCAATCATGACTTTCGATGGCATCATGTGCTGACACTTTACAGACTTGTAAACATCTCGCTCGAGAGGGATGATTTGGGATTGACAGGATGAGAAAGGCCGTTCGTCTTCTTTTCGAGGCCCGTTGCTAGAAATGGGAAGGGGACATAAGGCGGCGACAAAGTCTGGATGGGCTTGGATTGGAGGACCGCCGTCTTCATCACCCTTGGGCCAATATGTGTGTACAGCGTTCAAACCCCCTCGATCACGAATTCAAACGGACTTGATCATCCGTACAATCCACTTGACAAGATTTTGGTTGAGCGTCTTTACGATGGAAAAGAACATGTTCATGACTTGATGGAAAGCCTGACTTGGCTCTGTTGGCTTTGTCTAGAACTCCACTGTTACGATATTCACATTCATGTAATAATTAAGTCTAATTCACCTGACATTACTGGGACTGTCTCTTTGTCTTCATGTCCTGCTTGCTTGATAAGGCTATTGTGACCCAGGTTGCGTCTCAAAGTTGGAAAGTCGACAGCCTCCAGCAGGCATGTCTCTGATGTCAGATCTTGAGGATAAATGATGCGCCTGGGCTCGCGATTTGAGACGAGACATCGAGGCTGAGGCATTCGTCAGGCGTTGATGTTGTGTCTCACAGGCAGCACTATTTGCTTATCCCGCCAGCCTGGTGTCATCCCCAAATTCCTCAAATGTCTAAAACGCGTGGCATCCCTCAGCTACTAATCCGCAATTTTGACTCAATGTTTGTTTCCTTGATTCTTGGAAACGACTCTACCCTTGTGTGAATACCCACACACAACGATTGTTCCATGAAGTTGGGCCAAGTCGAATGAGCCTCAAGACGTCGAACAATTTGCGGATTGCGTGATCCCGTCCCCATCCCGGATGTCGTACCGACCGGGCCGGCCGTCCCATCACACTGGACCCCGTCGATGTCGATCTTTCTCTTTCAATCGAACTCTGTTTTCACTGTTACCCACGGGTTCCCCAGACCCCTCCCTAATCCCCCAACTTCCTGGTATTCCCCAGAAAATGTTTCGATGCAGGCTGCGGGTCGCTGTGCATCATCGTTGTCGCGTGGCACTCCGTAAGGCAATCAGCCTGTCAGCCTGGGTCATCCCTCTCAAATGTTCGGTCTCAGATTACGCCGTCTTACTCTCTTCGAAGCCACTCAGGTATCAGGAAAAGATGCTTTGTGCGACTTCGAATACGATGACATTCTCCTTGCGGTAGACAAACTTCACTCATTACTCTCCGTATTCCCACATCCCGAGCAAATGGATTTCATACCTCATTCCGCAGTGATACCGTGAACGCAAGTTTCCATGACGAACAATGTTCCGCGCAATCAAAGACATCGCCGTCGACCACTTCAGGCCCGCCCTAGACGCCATCTTCTTCGGCCGACACCTCCCTTGGTCCCTGCGCTGGCGCCTCCTAGCCTTGCAACCCATCATCTTCCTAACACACTCCCTCGCGCTAGCGCCCTACCTATTTCGACGTCCCTACAAGATCCGCTACATCCCTATCACGAGTGACCGATCTCTTCGCGTCCTCGTTTTCAAAGAGCCCGGAACGGGGTCGGGTCGCAATGGCCTTCGCCCACTTCACGTCGACTGTCACCCCGGCGGCTTCGTGGGCGGCATCCCGGAGGCTGACGCGCCCTTCTGCTCCCTGGTCGCGAAGGAGACTGGTGCTGTTGTCGTGAGCCTGAGCTATCGCCTCGCGCCGGTCCATCCCTTTCCGGCCGCTATTGACGATGTTGATGCCGCGCTTGCGTGGCTGCGGGAACATGCAGAGGAGGAGCTAGGCGCGGACCCGAGACTTATGACGGTTTCAGGGGCGTCTGCGGGCGGGAACCTCGTTCTGGCAGCCAGCCAGAGCATCCTCTCTGAGGAGTTTGCGATCAGGGCGGCGGTCACGTTCTATGCGCCAATCGACCTTAGGCCGAAGCCGGAGGAGAAGCCTCGTCCAGCGAATTTCCCGTCGACGGATCCGCTAGCCTTCATGTTGCCTCTGTATGATTCCTATGCGGCACCCGCCAAAGCGGCGAACTGGGATAACCCGAGGATGAGCCTCTACCTTGCAAGTGAGGAGACATTGCCAGAGAGGATGTTGCTTGTGGTGGCTGCGATTGACATTACTGTTCATGAGCAGTTGACTTTTGTTGAGAGGGTGAGAAAGGAGCGTGAGGATAAGGGTAAGGATGGGCAAAGTACAGAGGCCTTCTATCTGGACAATGCTTTCCACGGCTGTCTGGAGGGTGAGTACATGTCTAAACATTGTAGAAATGGATCACTGACTTTTACAGCACCAAGCATTGCCTTTTCTGTCACGAAAAAGATGCAATTGTGGGAAAGGGGCATCCATCTCATCCAGAATACGCATACTGAGTATGACTGGGCGTGGAAGGGCAGGTCGAATCATCCATAAACAGATTGAGATTGACGTGGGATAGCCCGGAAGCTGTACAGATGGTTCATTTAGCAGCGGGAAGAATATTCCTAACGTGTCCGCGTTCCAGTCAAGACTGAGCTCCATTTCATCCATTGGAACTGCTGCTTCGTCGATATCAATGTCGAGGCTGCTGCCTCCCAACCTCTTGAATAGCAAATCCAACAGCTCTACCGCCCGTTTCGCTTCAGCAGACCAATTGCTCCAATGAGACCATGTTTGGTAACTTTGCCTCAGTATAGCCTCAATCTCTGACTTGCTGACTGCGCCCCCGCTTTCGTCAACTGCCGGTGCGTCCGACCAGCGGTACAGATATGTGCTCAAGGCTGCGGTTGCGACGAGACATTCATGGACCACCAAGGCAGACACTTTGCTCCTCAATATAGTCAAGGTGCCACCTGGCTGTGTTTCCGCGTCTAGGAACAGTACATGCTTCATGATCTCAAGGGCTGCTTCTATGCATTTGCATCGGGCCGCTGACGTCCAGTTTTCGTTCTCTTCACTTGAACCACGTCCTGATGAACTTGTGCTAGCGAACTTCCGTAGTTGGAATTGATCTAGAATGATGCGGGATTTGTTGTAAAGACATGTAGTAATGACCCGATGTGCCACACTGACCGGCTTATCTGACAAGCAATGGACGAGTGAGGTGAACTTGAACTTTTCGGGTATCGACTCGTAGGCTTCCTTGAGACGAGCTTCGGCGCTGTTCATATTTTCTGGTGATTCTAGCTTGTTCATCAGGCTCAGATCAACTAACCTCCCCATAGCGAGGCTCATCTTGTATCTCGCTAGCAGAAACGAGACTTCAGTAACTTCAGTGCCGGCGCGGGACTCTGGTAGTTGGACGCAGTCTTGGTCGAGGTCGGCGTCAGAAATGTTGCGGGGGTGGTTTCGTGTTCCACGTCTCATCTGAGATAATCCTCGGCGCGCCGATGAACATGGTCATCGTGCCGTCCAAAATGTGTATGGTGGCCCAAACCCTGCGACGCATCTCGCCGTCGAAAGCGCTGATGCGCGGGAAGTGGGATGGGTCTTGGTGATATCCCATGCGGAAAGCCAGCTGAGCCATCATGCCGGCCACCATCCAGTTGCCCACCTCTGTCACGGGGTTGAAGTAGAACTCGACTAGGTAGTGGTGGATCAGGCATTCGAGGATGTAGGGATCTCCGCGGACATGGTCTGCAGCAATAAGGCATTGAACCAAACATTCTAAATACTTTGGCTGTCGTTGGGATTCTCTATGATCAGGCTCCGAGGAGAAAAAGCGGGAAAGACTCAGTACTCCGTACAAGAAACCCAACCATGACAAGGAGACTGCCGATGGATTGGCCCAAAAGCCTTCGTACTGTACAAGCATTCGGTCAGTCATGGAAGTGCAGTGTGAATGATGACGATGGACGACGGACCTCCTTGAGAAATTGAGGGGGGTGTCACGGTGTCAGCCGTGCTGCTTGAGTATGAGGTTTCAGATCAGATCATGTGTCAATTTTGGGAGACCAACCAGGTAGAATAGAAACTTCGTTAAAGTACTGAAATATGAGACGGTCTGCTGCACTTCGTTCTGGCAAGGCCGACACCAATCCCTCTTTTGACGCTGGTTGCATAAATCCGTACAACAACAGCGGGGTGTTGTATGCCGTTCTGAAGGGCGATTTAGGGGGCTCAATCGAGGCCTGTATTTCATCTGTTCGCCTGAATTGATTTTTCAGATCTGAAATCTCATCCATAATAGCCTCCCAATGTGGGCTTGCGAAATATGTAGTTCCCTGTGAGGTGATATGCATCGTACCTGGCTCTGCTGACGATACCGGCTGGGCCGGTGATGGTGGATTGCTAGGTTGCTGTGGTATCCCAGTGTTTTTCTCCTTTTGCGCAGGGGCATTCTTCATGTTTGCAAGCACTGTGTCCTCGATGCGCTTCAGTCTGTCTTCAATACTGCCTACATTGGGCTGAGGCTGGGCCCTCGAAGGAGCCGGAGCCATGGGGCTTCTCGAGTCGCTTGGATACAAGCATGATGAACCAAGGCCTCGAACGGCGCATGCGGCACACGGCTGGCGTCTGTTGCATCGTAGTCTTGATTTCAATCAGCATTTAATGCCGCCAAAATGAAGAGATGGATATGGCAGGCGTCTTACGTCCTCTGTCGGCAGAAGCCCCAGGACAGTTGCTTCTTGTCTCTTTTGCGATGCGGAGAGGGGATTGGCCGTGGCTCCGATGCTGCGGCGTTTTCTGGCGGAGGAACGGAAGACATGTGAACCAGGTTATATTAGGGAAAGACTGTGTTGAGTCGTGGTCGGCTACTCGCAACTGATCCATGAAGAAAACCCTCTTTGAGCCTCAGGAGGATTGTCGACAAGGGACAGTCGAACTATATTTTGCCCGTCATACCTACGCTAGTTCCGCGGATGAAGACCCCGTCAAAGAGGTCCATACAATTGGAGAAGTATAGGTTCCGAGGGCATTTATGCACACCGCGAAGAGGATGCAATTACGAGGAAAAGGCATCTCATCCAAAGCACCTCACCCATAAAAAGTGGTATTGAAAGATAGAATGACGTCGCATAACCCATGTGTTAGTTGGTTTGAGCGTGTTTTGATTCTCTTCCAAATGAAAACCTTTCTGAAGCCCAAAGAGGCTAGCTGGGCTGGCGGTAGAACCGACGAAAGTAATATAGATATCTATCAGCCCAAATTATTCATCTCACCATGAAAGTAGTCAGATACTATGGTCTGCATGCATACATGAGTGTAGCCTCTGAATTAAGTGAAGAGGGTTTGTTTAAGGCTGGTTATAACTCCTTACCTAGATATCCATCTATGGAAGCGCCCAGCCACAACAACAGCAAAGCCAGTAGATAGCTGGCAAGTCAAGTCTGTAATCACTGAGTGATAATGTTCTCAGAAAATAGACTGTGCTTACGCTGCAGTAGCGCTGAGTCAATCTTTCTTCCCTTCCAACTTTTTCTTCGCAGTTTGCCGCCTGGAGGCGCACCTTGTTGACTGCCGTATTTTGATGTAATGGGTTGTGGTAGTGTGAAGAGGGAGATGCCTGCCCGCTGTAGTAGCGCTGAGCCAATTAGATCTTTCATCTGGTATCTTTCGAGTTGAGCTTCCTTCCAGCGATTGTACCGCCAGCCCCCGTGGCGTCTGGCATGTAATAGCTTGTTGCTGGGTTGCACCATGCTGAAAGCGGATTGCTCATGCGGATTGAGGTCGACTCTCCGTGGCAATGAGACATGGCGCTATTCCACTCACGTGAGGGCGATACCTGCAACCATAAAGCAGCAGCAACTGGACGCTGGTTTTCAGTGATCGATACTTGACAACGTGGGGATGCGAGTCTGGACTCCGTCCGTGAAATGCCACGTGAGAGACATGGCACCATCGGCCCATCCCGCCCGGAGGCATCCCGCATTTGCGCCAATCAGAACCCATCGGCGGCTACGGGAATGGCTGGGCGTTGAAAACAGCGATATATCATGGGCTTCAGCTGGGCGTCGTAGCCTCGCTACTGAGACGTATCAGAATCTTGGGAGGCTGCTTTGGAGGCTCTCAAGGATGCATTCGACCAAGAGACCACAACAAAGAGATAATTAGCCCGGGACAAGCTGCCAGAACACAACGATGTGTTTGTGTATAATGCCACGGAGCCTCAAGAAAGCTTCTATTTTCCACACACAATTCTTCATTATCGCATTTCGACATATTAGTACATACGACTACTAGGTATTCTTTAGCCATGTGTAGTTCTTGCAATCCCGGGCTAGCCATGCTTGGCCAACATGCTCTTTCCAACATTGACACAAACCAACTCTCCCCTGTCTCTCGCACTGGTATTGGTGCTAGTGAGGACAAACTATCCACGATCTTTTACAATTGGATGGCACCTTCATTACCATGGCTGGGCACGACCAACCTCAGTTCGATGCGCTCCTTGTTGAAGGTGACACCATCACCTTCACTGGAAGTTTGAAAGATGCACAGGCGTGCGCTTCTGAAGCTACTCTCAAGGACCTCAACCACCAATTTCTCTTCCCCGGTTTTGTCGAGCCACACGTCCACATCATCTTCAGTGCACTCGCAAGCAACTGGTTCCTCAACCTGTCGAATCCTTCGCCGGTGACCTTCGACAGCGTCTTGAAGAAGATTGGCAGCCAGACAGAGTTCCACAACGACGGACAGGTTGACTGGATCATAGGCTTTGGGTACGATCCGTCTCATGTGATCGACCACCAGGACTTGACGCTTGCGGACCTGGACAAGCTATATCCCGGCAAGAAGGTGGCAATCTACGTTCTCAATCAGTCTGGACATGTCGCGTATGTCAATTCGGAGGCTTTCGACAGACTCGGAATCACCGCTGCGAAGGTGCAGGGGGACCCGGACTACGACATGGTCAATGGCAGTCTGACGGGGATTTTGTTCGAGACAGCCGTACAGACCGTGGGGTTGCAAACGCCCCGTCCATCGCAAGACCAGTTGATTCATTTCTGCGAGACCACAATTTCGAGTTGGCAGAAGGTCGGAATCACTACCATTCACGACGCTGGCATCGGAAACACTGGTGGTTGTAAGGATGTCGATCTCTTCAAGGCATTGCCACAGATGCAGATGCGAATGTCCGGTGCCATATTCACCCCTGCGTTCCCTAAAATGTATGAGTCCTGCCAGCCGCCCTTCTGTGAAGGCCAGGTCGAAATTGTGGCCGCCAAGTTTGTTGCCGACGGGTCGACCCAGGGTTTTACCGCAGCTCTCACAGAGGATTATTACGAGCTGGAAAATAAGCCGAAATACGTGCAAAACAACCCCAAGGGTATATACAATTACGCAAGTTGGACGGATCAGGCTGCTGCAATGGATCCCTGGCTAGGTGCGGGATACCAGCTGGTCGTCCATGCGAACGGGGATGCCGCTATCGACAACCTACAAGAAAGTATTCAGCGACAATCCCGAGCGCAAAACAGACGTCATCCATCGCATCGAGCATTTCACCGTCACCAGAGACGATCAGTTCAAACCGGTCCATGATCTCGGACTTGGTGTCAGCCACACGATTGGGCACGTCAACTTCTGGGGCAAGACTTTCGCTGAGTATGTTCTGGGTGAGCCTCGCGCGTTGCGAATCGACCCAATCAGGCAGGATATGGACAATGGCCTTCTATGGTCCCTTCACTCCGACTCACCCGTAACCGAGCCCAACCCGTTGCAATATGTGCAGACGGCGGCTTCGCGGGTGTTGTTTGGAGGACCCCCGTTTGATGTGCTAGGGAAGTATCAGAGAGTCGATATTGCCGAGGCCTTGAAAGGCATTACTATCAACCCGGCGAAGCAGCTCGGTATTGAAGATAAAGTAGGCACGCTGGAGAAATGTAAGAAGGCCGACCTTGTGATCCTCAGCAAAGACCCGCGCAAGGTCCGCGTGGCTGAGAATCTGCTGGCCGAAGTGTCGGTGGTTGAGACTTGGGTGGGAGGTTCTCAAGTGCATTTTCTGAGCCCTGCTAAGTGATACAAGACGTGGGTCATGTTAGGTGATTGACCTCGAAGCAAGTTGTACACTGACTGCCGCTCCCCTTGGTTTTTTTAGAGCCTTCCCTGTCGTTCATGAATCTCGTGCCAATGGGCTGAGAAGGAACGAGGAATTGAAAGTGCGAATAAATCTATAAATCAACAAGGAAACATGACCTTCTGCAATGCTCGTGAAATCATTCGAAATTAGATGACAGGTTCTCGCGTTTCATTGCTAGGTACTTCAATGGAGGGTTAATATGAGATGAACTGGTGTCTTTGTTGATGTTCACGAAGGTAGGGGCTGGAGGTGAAGTGAGCTCTTTCCTTTCTGGAGAAAATGCCAACCGCAAATTGATCGGGTGAAGTAGAAATTTTGGCTCTCGGATCTCACCTGAGCTCTTTCAATCTCGAATTTTTTTTTTTTCTCATCTTATTCTCTTGCTCACCCACCACCTTCTCTCCCAAACCTTCACCTTCTTCGCAGGAATTGCTTCTCAACAACCCAGCACCCCAGCTACCTCGATCACTATGGCTTCCGATGGAGGCTACATAGATATCTCA